ACACAAAGTGAGAGTTGTCACAGTTGCTCTTCGCTGATGACACTGTGCTTTTGGGAGATTTTGAAGAGAAGTTGCAGAGGTTGGTGGATGAGTTTGATAGGTTATTTAAAAGAAGAAAATTAAAAGTGAATATAGGAAAGAGTAAGGTGATGAGTATAAAAAAATAGGTAATGCAAGATTGGATATCAGATTGGAGGGAGAGAGACGGAGGAGGTGAATATGATAAGATATTTAGGAGTGGACGTGTCAGCAGATGGGTCTCTGAAAGATGAGGTGAATCATAGAATTGACGAGGGGAAAAAGGTGAGTGGTGCATTGAGGAGTCTGTGGAGACAAAGAACTTTGTCCATGGAAGCAAAGAGGGGAATCTATGAGAGTATAGTTATACCAACGCTATTTTATGGGTACGAAGCATGAGTGGTGAATGTTTCAAGGAGAAGGCTGGAGGCAGTGTCTAAGGGCAATGATTTTGGGAGGAATATATTGCAGAGATTCGTAGTTTGGAAAGTACGAGGAGGTGTGGGATTACCAAAACTATTATTCAGAGGGCTGAGGAGGGGTTGTTGAGGTGGTTCAGAGATGGAGAGAGGATGGAACAAAATAGAATGACTTCGAGAGTGCACAAATCTGTAGTGGAGGGAAGGCAGGGTAGGGGTCGGCCTAGGAAAGGTTGGAGGGAGGGGGTAAAGGAGGTTTAGTGGGCGAGGGTCTTGGACTTCCAGCAAGCATGCGTGAGCGCGTTAGGAGCGAATGGATACAAATGGGTTTTAGGACTTGACGTGCTGTTGGAGTGTGAGCAGGGTAATATTTATGAAGGGATTCAGGGAAACCGGCAGGCCGGACTTGAGTCCTGGAGATGGGAAGTACAGTGCCGTCTCGCTGAAGGAGGGGTATTTATGTTGCAATTTTATAACTGTAGTGTAAGCGCACCTCTGGCAAGACAGTGATGGTGTGAATGATGGTGAACGTTTTTCTTTTTCGGGCCACCCTGCCTTGGTGGGAAATGGCCGATGTGTAATAAAAAAAAGGTATGAAGAAAACGCTTAGAATATCATTAGTTAGATGCTTTAAGTGTTAGCATGTGACTCTAGCAAGAACTAATTATCTTGCGTATCAGCATGGGATGTGAGAATATAAATAATTATTAGTCTTGGTGTATTAACATGAGATCCTCTCCTGTTCTTTCCTGACGCTGTGTAACCCTGTTGTGATTCATATCTTGAAGGGTGGGTGCCTCTCTGGGATCTGGTAGGGATGCCACTTGCCCAGTAGGTACTTGCCTAAGAACCCAGAGTCTTTCATTATAGATGATGGAGATATATCCCTTTCGTTCGATTTTTTTTTTATACTGCCAATGACATGGAGGGAATTGTGAATATCGATTTAGGTTTATGTAACATGAGTGTGAATTGGCCACAGTGTAAAGTGGATACAGTGAGGAACAAAATATTTGTAGATCGCTAAGTTACTAGACTGTTCTAGCTCTTTTTTAATATGTTAACCATGGGATGCAATATATACACTTAGCGAGTCTTCTTCAGGCTCCAATAACATCAGTATCGTCAATAATTTGTCTTCTCAAAATTGAACTACATTATACACTCAAGTATCTGTGTAGATTTACTGAGGTTATATGTATTAAGGCATAATTATGTTGGTAACAGGAAAATTATAATGACAAAAACTGTTCAAACTGTTTTGTATTTAAAGATTGGAAGGGTTTCCGAAAACGTAATTATGTTGTGCTGCTATTTAAAAAAAAGTAAACAGTAACATGATATGGCGGGAAGACATGGCAGCTTATGTTACGGCGGAAAAATATAACCAAATCTTCTGGAGTGATGGGAAGAACATTGTGGGTGAGAGCCTAATCAAACAGTGACTGAAAAAATACTTTTCTATTCCATTATAAATATGGTACGAGTTGCGGATATTGAGTTTTATTAAAACAATTTCAGTTTTAATAAAACTAATGCAACTGCAGTGCTGGAAATTGTATTTACACCTCTGACATTATTATTTGGGAATTAGCGTAGGTTGTGGGAAGGTGGGAGGCATCTCAGGGTCATTAGGAACAGTGACGAGGATAATGTTTCTTATTTGGATTAAGATGCCACCATTATTAATTTTAATCATCTACTTTAAGATACGATGTTCGTCTTTGCATATCCTTATGTTTTATTTACGGGTTTGTATTAATTTTCGCAAATTTCATAGTGTAACTACATTCATATTGCTGAAATTCCCTCTGCAGCTAGGATTTCGTATTTATCTTAAGTATATAGTTTTCGTTATGAATAAATTATTAATGTGTTCGAGATTTGTCATTCTTTTGCAAACTAATACATCGAGGCTACATAATTTTCTACCATTGTATCTCTTAAACTGATGTTTCTGGTTTAGGTATACCTTTTTTTCATTAGTACATTCTTAGTGCGAAGCTAGGTCACACTACGAAGGTAGTAGGGTTAACAGGGAATAATACACTAGATAGATCCGATTAGTGTAGTATTCATAACTAATATCCACCCTTACCAGCAGTAAGAACTCTACACCATACTAGGTGAAGAATTCTTGTTGTGGGTATGGCGGATAGTGTTACATAGTGTTGAAGTGCGTGGGAACTTGAGGGGTTGGCAGCATGTGATGCATGTGTGGTTACTGTAGTATGGTGGTGTAAATTGTGACGATTGAGGGCAGCATGGAGAATGTACTTAAGGTGGTTGTTGTGTGTGTGTTAGCCGGACACCCCACCCCCCACCCCATGCCCACCAATCCCACACCCAGACACCAACGTTATTGGATTTTTTGGATTTTGCCGCGGAAGTGGCTAGTTTATTGTGCACCCCCATATCCATCCTATGGAGGGTAGTGCAGCAGCATGTGGAAACAAAAGGCCTAGGAATTAGGCCCCAAATGAGTTTACAGAAATACATCTGGGTTTGTATCTACAGTTCGCTTATCTGTTGAAGGCAATTTTAGGAAATATACTTAATACATCTGGTATCTTATTTTCATTAATAAGATATCGTGACATAGTGCACTTCAGTGAGAATGTTCGGTTTTACAACCGAATTTTCCCCGGGTCGATTGCCAGGTCCTGCGAAATATATATATGGACATATTTCCTTATACCCATGCTGACTGTTCATCTTCCAGTACAAAAATAGGCATCTTGGTGTTATTTGATTACTCTGGGTCGAATTGCTTAGAATATACAGCAGTATTACTGAACTCTACGGCTGCTACTGCTTCTTTCTCAGATTCTTTGTTGTTTTATTGTTGTTCTTCTCATTTTCTTAAGTTTGTCGAATAAACATTGTGCGCACCCTCAATGGCAAGATGGAGGGAGGGTTACCTGAAGACGATTTCTGGGTTACTGCCTTCCTACTAGATCAGGCCTCCCGATTGATGGCCGGAACAACCAGGCTAGTGGAACTAACTTGGAGAACTTATCAAGTTCCCTCTTGAAGTCAGCTAGGGGGTCTGTTGGTAATTCCCCTTAAGTATAAAGGGAGGGAATTAAAAAGTCTTGGTCCCTTTACACTTTTGAGTTATCATTTTAGGGTCCGTTTTTCATTGGAGGGATTTTACACCGTCTGCCGAGCCTCTTCTTTCGTGAGGAGTATTTTCGGTATATAAATTTGTGACCGATCCCTTTAGAATTTTCCAGGTGTAAATTATGAATTATCATTCTCGTCCACGTTCACGGAATACAGTTCAAGCGGCTTCAGGCGTTCCCAATAATTTAGGTACTTGACTGAATGTATAGGGGCAGTCAAGGTATCTATATATAGTCTTCATTTCTACGATTTTGCTAGCTACAATAGGGGCTATTAGTGTGTGGCGTCTCTTGTTTCGATTGTTGTGCTGTAGCAACATGTGATCCTTGAACGTAAGCTCTTCTGTTATTATAGCCTCTAAGGCCCTCACATTCCTCTTAACGCTATACTGAGTGGCTTAGGTTTGCTTTAGATTCTGTTCAAGATTTTTAATTCATCGATTTTTCAGTAGAGGAGTAATGGAATAACTCCTCTCCCCTTCCTTATTTTGAATCCAAATCTCTACTGAGTAGATGAACTGGAATCGAGTTAATTTGCTTCAAGTTGAAAGAAAGATATTAAATTCGACACTGGCAAGTATTCTTCTCGAGGGTGGACGACTATAGGTAAGGTTATCGTTCGAGAATTAAAAAAGGTTTAGGGGGTATATAGACAACGCATTGAAGTTTTTATTGGTAAAGCGATTCACCCACGAATTGGCTTATTAAGTACAAGTATTTGGCAGAGCCCACCCTCTCGTGGGTAAAACATTGTACTAATAAACACTTGACTGCATTGTCTGTTTACCACTTGTCAGCGTTGTTTTGTTTTTTCTTAGCATATAGAAAATGTGTGGGTAATGGGAGGTTTTCATTTATATCAGAAAGTGGAGAACAACAACTTTAGAATCAAGAAGATTCAACTTGACTCGGAATTTCTTAAAACTTATTCTGATGATGGATGATGATACATCCAAAACGTTAATAATAAAGAAATTGGATGTCCACTAAGATGGTGTTTGTCACAGCCTTGGTAATACGTTGTACATTGAAGATTTGTTTCCCTTGTACGAACCTTATGAGTCAAGAGCTTCTCTCTGAAATAAATATATGTTCACCTAGCAGTTAGTAAGTGCCTGTGTACTGGAGCTAGGCTTTGAGATGAGCTAAGGTAAGATAGCAACTTAGCTTGTATGTTGAACTGTGTAAAAATGTAACCGAAGGAGAAGTGGTATTTACCTAAAATCATTCAGATTCAGTTTGTATATATGTAAAAATGCATGCAAGATTCATTTTCTTAATGTGTCTCTCGCGGGTGTATATTTCAGCTCATACATTTGCCTGAATTTCATGTGTGTGTTTTAGAGGTCACTACTGGCCAGTGATGATTCTGTTAATTATTGTTGTGGTTGCATGCCATGCCTTGCTCACCCGGTGTCTCCCTCTTGCTCTGCTTCAGATAATTGGCCTTCTAGACGTCTTCACACCGTCCACCTCCTACGAGGACTTCCAAGACGTGTGAGTATTAGTGGAGAACGCTGGGTGGAGGACGCTGGGGGGGGCTCTTCAGGTTAATGTGTGCAGTGTTGCCGGGTTGATGGACAAAGTTGTGTGAGCGTAGTACATTGTTGATTTAGTTATCGCCGTTGCAACTGAATAGTATGTGAAGACTTATAGATTGGAACAAATAAGACACTTAAATCCAGTATGGAAAGTTTTATGAACAACAAGCTTGTAAACCAGGTGAAATGTTAACATCTTTCCATTCTCTGTATAAATGCCGTATATGTTCCGACGATGCGCGTACGCACGCTTTGAAATGACAGGACGACGCTACCCACATATTACGCGTCAGCGAATCATGCATTGTAATAGTTGAGTTAAGGAACCACGTCTTGCAATGCAAAAGGTCTAATTTCACCTCCATTTTGTGCGATAGTTTTGACCTGTTTCAGCTCCAATATTCTGAATTTTATTCTTTATGCCTTGTTGAGAGGAACTCATATTTTTTTTTTTTTTGTATACATAGTTTTCGAGTTGTACTCTGTAAACTGGAGTATTCAACACTGACATCATTTTAAGGCTGGCATATTACAGATATGGAGAATTTCCACTAACTTTCACTGCCCTCATCATTTCAAGCACACAAATTATGGGTACGCCTAAAAGACTTTTTGCCGCACTTCTTGGAGAGAGAGAGAGAAGGGGGGGGGGGAGCGAGGGAGGGAGGGAGAGAAGAGAGAATGAGAATCATATTTTACACCTGAAAAATACTGAAAGGTCTGGCTTCAGTTCCCCTCACTGAAATAAATCCTTATAAAATTGAGAGGCACGGTAAAGTAGTTCCTTGGTATGCAGCAACCATCTAAGGAGGTCCCCCCCCTCTCTCTCTCTCCCTCCCTCCCTCCCTCCCTCTCTCCCTCCCTCCCTCCCCTCTCCCCCTCCCTCCCTTCCTCTCTCCCTCCCTCTCTCCCTCCCTCTCTCCCTCCCTCTCTCCCTCCCTCTCTCCCTCCTCTCTCTCCCTCCCTCTCTCCCTCCCTCCCTCCCTCCCTCCCTCCCTCCTCCCTCCCTCCCTCCTCTCCCTCCCTCTCTCCCCTCCCTCTCTCCCTCCCTCTCTTCCTCCCTCTCTCCCTCCCTCTCCCTCCCTCTCTCCCTCCTTCCCTCTCTCCCTCCCTCCCTCCCTCCCTCTCCCTCCCTCTCTCCCTCTCTCAACTTGTCATATGTGCTGGTGGGGCTGCACCTACCCACCTGTAGGGTTTCTTTGGCTTCGCAACATTAAGTATGTGCGTCTAGCAAGTTTCCCATCTTAATTTCTGTATAATTTTATATTGATTTAACGTTCATAATTTCTCTGTTCCTTCTGCCATTTTTTTTTTTTTAAGCAGGTGTACTAGTGCGCTTTCTGCATGCGGCTTCAGTGCCTCTCCGAGTGTTAAGACGTAGCTACTCTGATTCACTAACCAGTTAAGTCAGTCACGTAGGAATGAGTCAGGTAGGTTCTCCTAGGTTGGCACCAAAGACTACTGATGTACAGACCTCCACCAGCACACTGATTGGTCAAATATCATTACATTAGCGGTAAGACACATGCGCAACATCTAGGTTATCTGCATTATGAAGACTTTGCATCAGGTAGTGGCTTTTTCAGTGTAATATGGAGCTATTTTACTTCAGAAGGTGAAAGGTGCGGTAAGCATTCCCTCTGATCAAATACTGGGCCGCGATAAGCGAACGGAGGATCGAGCCTCAAGCACTGTTTGTGGTGAACAACCCACACGCATTTAGCTCTTTAAATAAATAAATAATTTATAAATATGTAAATGAAACTTGGAGGGCGGAATGGTGATATATTCCTATGTCAAGGGAAAGGTAGAAAAACTCGGGACATGAGTTAGGCAAACAAGTCTCTCTGATTAACGTATTTACCTCTTAAACAATCCAAGTAATATAATAATGTATGTCTTCTAGAAATATTGAGGTATCAGGTCTTTGCTAATTGTTTTAATGGATGGTATCCATCCCTTCTCTCGCCCCTCCTCGCTTGAATGAATCTTAAGTTTGGTGTAAACCTTGTGGTCAGCTGTTTATAGTGACTGTCTCGCGCAAGAATATATCTCAGCAGCAACACCAGACCGCAGCGGTTTTTTTTTTTATGTGCAACAAAATTAAATACAAGTGGAGTGTGCGGCTAGCCTGCTTTCTCTGAGAGTTACATGGTAAGAACAAAAGCTGTCTTCCTGAGTATGATGTACCTTTACCATACCTTTGATGGGTTCCGAGAGTTTTTCTACTCCCGGAACCCGGCCATTGGCCAGGCTCGTCGGATGCTTGCCTGGTCAGTCAGGCTGGTTGATTTGGTACCTGGTGAAGATACTTATCCAGTTTCCTCTCAGACACTTCTACACTTGTCTCAGACGATGAATAATCTGGGACCACGGATGGATGAGAGCAAGATGGATGATCACTCACACCCACTAACCTGGCCTCATTTACCAGTTTATTAAAGTGTCGTGCGTTTTTAAGTAGTTTAGGTTACATAAACTTATAAAAATATATTTACCAACATATAAACAATTTAAAAAAAAAGCAGTAGCGAACCTGTAAAAATGGTGGCTGAGAATCACGAGGAAACTTTCAAGTCTAAGAGTATAGCTAGTTCGAATATGGGATTCCCCCCCCCATCCCCTCCACACACCCTCAGCCATGGACTCACCTACGCCCGCGCCCAGCCACTGACTCACCTACGCCCGCGCCCAGCCACTGACTCACCTACGCCCGCGCCCAGCCACTGACTCACCTACGCCCGCGCCCAGCCTGACTCACCTCGCCGCCCAGCATACTCACCTACGCCCGCGCCCAGCCACTGACTCACCTACGCCCGCGCCCAGCCACTGACTCACCTACGCCCGCGCCCAACCACTGACCTACGCCCGCGTCCAGCCACTGACTCACCTACGCCCGCGCCCAGCCACTGACTCACCTACGCCCGCGCCCAGCCACTGACTCACCTACGCCCGCGCCCAGCCACTGACTCACCTACGCCCGCGCCCAGCCACTGACTCACCTACGCCCGCGCCCAGCCACTGACTCACCTACGCCCGCGCCCAGCCACTGACTCACCTACGCCCGCGCCCAACCACTGACCTACGCCCGCGCCCAGCCACTGACTCACCTACGCCCGCGCCCAGCCACTGGCTCACCTACGCCCGCGCCCAGCCACTGACTCACCTACGCCCGCGTCCAGCCACTGACTCACCTACGCCCGCGCCCAGCCACTGGACTCACCTACGCCCGCGCCACCACTGACTCACCTACGCCCGCGTCCAGCCAACTGACTCACCTACGCCCGCGTCCAGCCACTGACTCACCTACGCCCGCGCCCAGCCACTGACTCACCTACGCCCGCGCCCAGCCACTGACTCACCTACGCCCGCGTCCAGCCACTGACTCACCTACGCCCGCGTCCAGCCACTGACTCACCTACGCCCGCGCCCAGCCACTGGCTCACCTACTCCCGCACCAGCTGACTCGGAGGGAGCGTCTCTGTCTTTGGGTAAAAACTTAACTAACGCATTCATTAACGTTTCTCGATCATGCTCGCAGGATCGTGTATTGCATCTGCACAGCTTATTTGTAGCATACAAGTTCCTAAAGTTGTTAGATTGAAAGCCTATCGACTACACGTGGGTTAAGGTTGCGAGTCACCTATATGCTAGGTAAAAGGACACAAGTGCAACTAATGCGACATTTTATTGTGGCATTAGTCACACTCGTGTCTTTTTATTTAACATATCGGTAATTCTACCAATATTATTTCAAGTCAACTGTACACCAAGAACCCCCTCTAAGGTCTACAATGTGGATTAATGTGAAGTGAAAAATGGGGCTAAGTTCTTGGGTATGGGCAGGCTGAAGTGGAATATTGCTGGGGGGGGGGGTCGCCGGTCCCCTCAGCAAAGTACAAATTGGTTATTCTTTAGCAAGCTGGATATTGATGTAATTGTTCCTACACGTGGGGCTTTCATGCTACTGCTAGTGAGTACAATTGATTCAGAATTGATCAGACGTCGGCGTTGTAAGAGGGAAGTGATGGAGGGGAGGGGGCAGACTTTAAATTAACACCTGAAGTTGACATTGCGTGTAGATGTGGTCGATAGTTAGGAGGGTTGTTTTTAACCAATTTCCGTCATCCCGCACTGCACCGTCACATGGCAAGCTAGCTAGCTTTTGATCCCACTACGTAACTCCAGCACAAAGAGTAGTGGTCAACTGAGTTAAATCGGAGACTGCCATAGTGAAGAGCTCTGTTCCACAAGGCACAGTACTCGCACCCATCCTGTTCCTCATCCTCATATCAGACATAGATATAACCCACAGTACCGTATCATCTCTTGCAGATGATACTAGGATCTACATGATGCTGTCATCTATTGAGGACGCGGTTAACCTCCAAGAAGATAAAAACAAAGTTTTCCAGTGGGCAACGGAAAACTGATGTTCAATGAGGACAAATTCCAACTACTCCGTTGTGGAAAACTGGAGGGGATAATAACTAGAACAGAGTACACTACAAACTCTGACCATACAATAGAGCGGAAAAATAATGTAAGGGACCTTGGAGTAGTAATGTCTGAGGATCTCACTTTCAAGGATCACAACAGTGCCACGATCACAAGTGCAATCAAAAGAGGTGAGAGTCATCTTATGAATCAGTATATTGACATTAAGAGGGACGTTAAAAAGGGGGTAAGAAAAGCTAAACGGGACTATGAAGTTAAAGTTGCCAGGGATTCGAAAACTAACCCAAAAAGTTTTTTCCAGGTGTATAGAACAAAAGTTAGAGATAAGATAGGTCCCCTTAAAAATAACTATGGGCATCTTACTGACATAGAGAACGAAATGTGCTCGATTTTAAAAAATTATTTTCTCTCGGTTTTTACACAGGAAGACACTAACAATATCCCAATAATTAATTTTTATCGTGGGCCTGAAGAAGATAAATTATGTAACATCACAATCACTAGTGAAATGGTTATGAAACAAATAGACCGACTGAAACAAAAGTCGCCGGGACCTGAT